AAATTTCTTTCGTTTTGATATCTCAACAAGCCTTAACAAATGTATAACGTGTTACTTAACAATCAGTCGTACTAGTTATAATATCTAGGATTGGTAGTCGCTCTTGTTATAAGCAACTTACTTAAGACGTAAGTCTTTAGATTCATCATGTTATACCCCAAAAATGTTAAAAAGTAGTTTTGCAGAATAACCGGAATGGAGGGGTGGCTTTTTTATTTGTCCTTAACAAATCTAAAAGTTGCAATTCACAAAGTTATGTTCCATTTTCTCCACAAAAACAGCTATCAAAATACTCACCATGTTTTGTGCTCTTTGGTCGGATTGTTGTCTCTTTGACACATTCCCCATTTCCATTCTCAATTTTATCCTATTGCGTTTGCAAAATTTGAAATCCGAGTTTCCTATTTATAATCTCCATGTATTTTAAAGGTATCTGTTTACGTCGAATTCAACGTTAACATACAATTAAAAGAAAAAAACAGAGATGTGGTGCTTGGTACTCTTGAAAGATAGGCAAAGTATTAATGTATACAGGGATTTTTGGAAAAATAGAGGCGATATTCCAGAAAAAAGAAATATTTACCGCCGAGTAGATAGAGGTAGAAAATCATTTTGGCCACATCTATCGCACTAAGACAATGACTATCTTGGTTGATGGAAAGCGGTCATGAGTTCACGTAATAGTTTTGCCATTTTTACCCTAAAAATAGAGATTCATTCAATAAATGATGCTTTCTCAAGCTGAATGGGGTGGTTTTATTCCTTGGAAGATAGCTCATGGATTTGAATCATTGCAGTGTTGCTTAACGTCCAGCGGCAAATACTTCATGCATATTCAGAACGAGTGAACACAAGTATTCAACTACGTAACTCGTATCTACCAGAGATGGCAACAGTGCCACTACTCTCTATGGCCGAACTTTAAAAAATAGATGCATCTCATGTAAAAAAAACTTTGTTATGATAATAGTTCAAAGTCGATTAAAGTTCAATCCTTGCTATTCAGCCGTTCAAAACATCAGATTGTAGAATTTAAAATAAAGAAGACGTAGTGAAACCTGTTCATTTTTGACCGTAAATAGTTTAATGCACTACATGAAATTAATAATAAACTTGTCATGTGGTATAAACTGTTATTGAATTTCAATGAAGACATTGACCTACATGATTACTGTTTATCATACTTGTATAAGATTTGATTTTAAGGTAAAAGTATTTTGAAAAGTTACAGAATAACAATATATAATCAAAATGAAGGAGAGATAGTTATCAATGAAATTGTTCGTGTTGATAAGTCTATAGATTTTGTCTCGCCTTGGTGTAGTCAAAAAGCGAGACTTATGTATGCTGTTTCCGGTGGCGACGACGAAGGCTTCAATTTGTTAAAGTTTGTGACTAGATCAGTTTAAGGGGAACAACTTACGGTAAATTAATGATATTTTGTATGCAGTTGTAAAGGCATAAGCACATCTCATTTTCTTGAAGATTATTTGGTCCTGCTCCCTCAGTCGCGTTCAATTTACTTTGAAACTTTTGAATAGTTTATATATAAGTTAAAGTGTGTGATAAGGTCAGTGGTAAGTCAATGATATTTGGTATGCAGTTGTAAGAGTGTTGGTGCATTTCATTTTCGTGGAGGTTTTTTTTTATCCCGCCTCCTCCGACTAAAGTTGACCGTAAGTCATGAACAATTCTGTATACTTAAGATCAACTTAAGATTTTTTGTGAAACTGGTCAACAAAAGTTACATCTTGTAAAGTTTTGTGTCTAGTTGGTATTTATTTGACTACTCGATAATTGTTACATTTGTTGACTGGTTGATTAATATATATATATATTTATCGCTATTTTACGAATTTTTCCTTTGATCTTGCTGACTGATAATTTCCGTTCTCAGCGGAATCGAGTGATATGAAAATGGAGTCGAGTGATATGAAAATTATCGCTAGAAACTAATTGAACACGTGCCGTTGTCAAGGAAATTAACAACGTCTTCATAGGTAAAATAGCGATAAACAGATTATCATTGGTCATCTCAACTCGATTGGTTTTCTCGCTTTCGCCGTAACGGCTCAAGCGAGAAAATCAATCTCGTTGAGATAACCAACGATAATCTATAAGTATCTAAAGAAGTTGCAGCATAACATATTTTTACACAAAGCTCATATAGCTTGCTGTTTTTTCCGTTTGATATATATCCCATTGGGATGAATATCAATAAATGAATATGTTGGGTATACATCACTGAGACAGAAACCTATCAAGTAAAAAAGCTTCTACATGGTTTACATAATATGGTCTTTTAAAATACAATATCGGAAGCTCTAAATCGACCTGAGTTGAGAAAAGAAAATAAGAAAAACAAAATATATCAAAGATTTTCCATCGACATCAAATTCCCATTTTAAAAAAAAAACTAATATAACTTTTATATTTGTACACCGTTTAATTAAATTGTGAATTTTTTAAAATGATCCCAAGAAAAAATAACTTCTACTACAAACAAGTTGTAGCAGTATAATATTTATAAAAGAATGGATGCATAAGATATGTTAAATTAAGATATACAAACATGATGCTGTGTGTTGGTGTGATTGATTGTATACTGAAACACTAAATTAGTGTAGGATTGATGCAAACATATTTGATAAATAACAGATATTATTGATACAAATATGAAAATTTCTTATCTGGTGGAATCTTTCTATTTATAAACATAATTATAGATTATGTAACAAAATATTTGTAGGACATTAGTTAACCTAGTAAACTAATATGTTCAATTGGGTTCCATACACGAACCGTGTACTTATCTAATTTTAGTTTAAAAGATGTCTTATAAAGTTTATCTTATGAACTTCAAATCAAATAAGATATCTAAGAATACAAGATATCTTATATACTTCATAAGATATCTTGAAATTGGATAAAAATAAAAGCGGCTTAATTGCCATTTACGTCGATTAATATTGAGATTTTCTTTAAAATGTATCGAATATTGTTATACGTTTATTTCCTTTTATCTGTAGGACTTGAAATATTATATTGGGTTATTACTATTGATTTAAGACTAAAGTTAACTTCAAAGTATGGGGTTATCGTTCACTTTGCAGTTAAGTTGTATAAATTTATATATGACCTATTGTTTAAGCTTCAGATCAATGAGATTAATGCATTGGCATAGCGAATTTTTAAACGTATGCATTTAAATAGACGTGTTAGGAAAGGGGTTTAAATACTGCGCTGATGTTAAATACCAATACCGATACAAGATTTAAGTGTGGACTTTCTCAAAATGCAATTGCATTGAAAAGTATCCCGGAGTAGTATAGTTTAGCTTTGTGTGATTGATATGAAGCGAACGCGGTTAACGTCGACTCCAATTTTTTTAAGACGTGCATTGGCCTTACGTAGATCTTCATACATTCATTTGTATTTGTTTGATTTGGGAGTGCAAAACAAAACTTAAAAAAAGTATATATGTAAGGGTCAAGAATGGGAATGGCGGATTCTACGACCAAGTCCAAATATATACATTAAATAATATGAGTAGAATATGTAAGGTTGTCTTGCTGGCGCATCGTTTTAATGTTCAAGAAAACCACTTTCCACGAGTCGTATGTGATTCGTATTGTCTACTAATATCTGGGTAGGAATGCAATGCATGGACAGAAGGAAGAAAGAACGGACGGATTGACCCATCCAACCATCACTATATACCGTCCAATTTAGAAAGCGGAGAGTATAGTGAATATTAGGTTGAACAAAATGAAGGAAATTGCCCGACATATAATTTAGCAGGCTTTGCAAGAGGTGAAAACGAATATTCCATTTTCAAAATATCCTTCTGACCCAAGGATAATAAAATTAACTTCTCCATATGAAAGTTTAACGCCACTTTCAACAATATTTCAATTTAATCGTGATGTTCTGTTTTGTTGGTGGAGGAAGTCGTGATACCAAGAATAACATACTTCCGACCCTTCACCAAATGTAAATTTAACATGCTTGAATAATGCCCAAATGTGGTAATCTTTTAAAACTTAATTCGATAACCTCTTCTGTTTGAAAAACTAACTGACAAAAGTTGATAGAGAGAAAATGTCAGTTAAAATGTGAATAAGAATAATTAGTTCACACATTTCAACGGTTTTTTTTAGGTATTGTCCCTTTTCAACATTACATTGAATTGCCAGAGTGACCTTTCTAGATAAAATAAAAAGATAAAGATTGTCAAATTGAAATAGCTTTTGTTTCATTCTTTTATTTTTTTTTTAATTGTCAAGTACACAAATTTCTAGGTTTTTTTATTAGAATTTTAAGCTACACATTTCTCTAATCTAGAAAATGATTTAAATTAAGGAGATGTGGTATGATTGCCAAAGTAGACAACTATCTACCAGAGACCAAATGACGCAAATGTTTGCAACTATAAGTCACCGTATGCCCCCCTCCCCCCCCCCCCCAAAAAAAAAGAGCAAAACCCATCCCGTATAAATGCTATGAAAGGTATATCTTAAATAAATTTCAAATAAACGAACATTTTGACCAAAGATTGACGTGGAGTAATAAATCGGATTCGGATGTGATTTGATTGCAGTTTTTTTTTTTTATTCATTTTGATCATTTTGCAGATTTTCCTTGTAGTCGTTCATCAACATAGTAAGAAATGGGGGAACAACGATCTTAGAATTATTCGATCACTACTATGAACCAAGGCAATTTTACGATAATATTAATAATGATCGTGTTGTTTTGCTGGATCCTCCTCGGTGTAAATTGTTATTATTTAATTGTATAAAAACATCTCAGAATTATCGAACAAACCCATACAGGTAACTTTAATGAAGATTACCTGGGCTTTTGGAGATGGTCCCCACAATAGCCTGTAGTGGTATTGGTATTTAACATCAGCGTCAAAATCGTACTGACTTTCCTAACACGTCTAATAGTGTATAGATTGAAGCATGTCAAATTAACAAGTCCACATCACATTGAACGGTTCATCGTATTATTTTCCATATACTATATACAATCTACTGTGACAGATGGTGGTTATAGGTGTTGTCTTTTAAAATGATTTTCATTGGCTGCTAGTAGCCACACACCACTTTTAAACGGTCAAGATTTTGGTAATTGTACAGAACTGATAAGGAAAAGGGAATAATGGTGAACGTACGGAGAATAAAATTTCCTATTTTTGTGATTATTTGTCAGGTAGTTTTTTTGGTGTTGTTTGGAGCATTGGTGGAATATGACGACTCTGCAAAACCTAATAACCAGGACAAAGCTCATCCTGCCGCAGGAGGCATTGTTGCTAGAATGTATCCCAGTAAGTCCTTAAACTTCATTTAACCATATAATCACATTACCCCGGTTTCTGTTACTTTAATTGACTTTGCATTGTCGTTAAAAAAAATCATCAAAGATTATTACCAAGCTTATATCATTTTGTACGCCAGGCGAGCGTTTCTTCTTCAAAAGTATCTATATTCTATGAGCTGAAATGCAAATAGTGAAACTTTTTTGTAATATTCAAGTCAATGTATATAATTATAGTGTGTGTTATGTTTATATTACAAATGGTAAAATTTCATTGACAATATACTATTACGGTGACATATGTTTCTGAATGACTGATGATTTTACTACATATTTACAAATATAAAAAACTTCATTGTCATGGAAATTTCGCAGCCCGAGAAAATCGGTCATTATTCTGGATAACAAATTTCGTTAATATCTTTGAATTTTCGCTTCGAATTCATTGTCAGTACCAGCCCCTTCCTGTACAAAAACCATGGGGAAATTAATTGTTTGGAACTAGACACCCCTCTTCTCACCTCCTATAAAAAACGATCTGTATGTTAACATGTGTATTCTTACAGATGTGATATAATTGTACACGTTGTTCATGCTCAAACTCTAAATACATTTTGTTTTCATAATTTTGTTTATGATCTGGAGCGTCTGTATGGTTTTCAGAATGGACATTTTAATCTCTATTCAAATTAAATGCACAGTTCTACCCAATGGTTTGATGGCATACATGAAATTAACAAAATAACACAGTACATAATACATCACAATAATAATAAAAGTACATGATTGAATATATCATACAGCTTTCGAGTCCACTCTCCCGTGTGACCATGACTTTTTGATAAATGGAGCAGCATACTACACAACTAACGGACATTAAGGACAATATACTAATTTAACAAACTTATCCATATCATCTTTATTTTTATAGGTATTTTCAATTTTTTATAAGATTTATTCAAGTCTCGTTTTTTTAATAAATTAACCTGTTATTTTCAAAGTTTCATTTGTTTTTTTTTTTGTAGCACTTTGTTAGTAGTAGATATTATAAACAATGTTTCGTTAATAGTACAAACAGATTAAATATTTTTACTATGGAATATAATTTTAATTACGTAATTTTTTAATCGTCATGCACCTTTAAGTGGATGAAAAAACCCGCATTTGTTTATGTACAATGTATTTCCAATGCTTACAATCAACTTTACTTTATAAAGTTAGTTGTGTTTTTTATCGTTTGTCATTCATTACTTGACAAAATTAAAGCATGTGCATTGAAATGAAAAAACATTCTATATAGATTAAGCGGTATACATCAAATGTACAGTTTATTTAACAGTCCCTGTTTCACCTAAATACATTCATCATTCAATTACAAAGGTGCAATCGATTCGAGACAGAGGTCTCTATGACTTCAATGAAATGTCACGTACTACTAGAGACGAGCGATCTTTGGAATAGACAAAATACAGCACAGTGATATTCATGCTTCCACACCGTGTCCAATGCCACATAATAGGAATGAGATTGGTAGAAAGCGGGGACAGTAGATTTGTCACCTTTAGTTAACAAAAAGTAGTTAAAAGTATAAATTGGTTTAAACTAAGATTTTGTCGTTGATGACGTCATAAATTTTGAAGATTTATTGCACTAGTGCAATATTACAATTTATTGCACGCTAACTTTTGGTTACTTTCTGTGGGAAATATTATATTGCTATGCAATAAAATCTCATCTTTAATCACAATTTTGCAGTTTTCTAAAATAAAAAAAGTTGTATTTGACATATAGGGACAAAAATTCCTGTTCGACACGGGAACTATGCTTTATTAATTTGGTTCAAACTGGTTTAGAATTGACGCAAAACAATTTATGTAACAGATTGTATCTGCACGATTCACAATTTTAGTCAAACCTAATAAAACAATCTTACAATCATTGTGTTCCAAATAACGTTCAAAGCGTAAGCACATGCGACTGTTAAAATACCGGAATTTCAATTATCTACATTATGGCACATAACAACGATAATAAATTATGATGTTTGGATTATTTGATAAATTATATACTGTGCCTCTAAATACCCCTTTTTACCGCTGTTAACTTTTACATACTTTTTGTTGACTAAAATGTGTTAGATAATTAGATATTTATTGATTGACTTTGGTCAAAACGTCAATATTTGCTGTCCCTGGTTGTATGATGCCGATTCCCATAAGTGACATTGGATACGGTGTATCAGGGATAAAATGGTTGAACAGTCGTGAAATAAAGTTCATAAATTATCAAAATCGACAAATAACTGAATAATTCATCTTTAAAATGCATTTAAGCATACATGTAGGTTAACCCAAACCCTTTAGAATGATGAGAATTTTGTCTTACCAGGATATTTATTTCACAAACATGGTAATTTTCAAAAAGTCCTTGAATTTATGTTTAATAAAATTCACAGTATTGCTGATTTATGTATTTATTTTTGAATTTGTGACAATATTATCATATTTAAGGTTGTTTGATCACATAGATTAAAACGTTTGATAGAAGATTGGCAACTGTTTATAGTATTAACTCAATACAGTAAAGCAAGGGCGAGATTCCAAACAATAGCAAAACTTGTATCAATGTTTAAGTATGCATTGTTTAGATACAAATAAAATAACACCACAAAACCCCAAAACAGAAAAAAAACATGTATATAATTTTTTCAATATTTCACCAAAATTGTCTCAAACGATGATGTGTATTGTTCAATAAAACCACAGTGATTTTTTCCCTCTTTATTCGTAAAACGATAAGAATTTTTTAAAGTATTATTTGAATTAATCGATATAAAAATCGCTGTATTTCTTCAACTATTTCAGAAAAAGATATTCATTGCACCACATGTAAGGAGGGGGGGGGGGACTATTAGAGTTTACTCTCTCAAAAAGATAAAAGTGATATTGCGATTTACGAAAAACAAATATGACTGACGTGAACATACGACAACCACTGAACTACAGGCTCCTGACTTGGGACAGGCACATAAAGAATATGGCGGGGTTAAACATGTTTATTGTTTGCTTTTGAGGGTGTTGGGTTTTCGAATCTTCCACATCTTATTGTACCTTTTCAACAAACCAGGTAGAATTATTTTTGTTTACATTTTTGGTGGGTAGCGCTATTTGAACTAGATCAAGGACAATTCAAAAACTGTTATTTAAACGAATTATATATTTAAGGATCTCTTACTACAAGTATTATATGATCCTATATGCAGTGTCTATTCTGATTGTCATAATGGTCATTTAAACAATGTTGAAGAGGACCAAAGCTTTAGCTGAACCCCATTGTTATTATGGGGACGATCGTATTACGTTATCTGGTTTCTTATTGCTGGAAATCTAATGAATGAAGATATTTATGGTTTATTTTCTCTAAAGAAAGTTAAGCTAGACTGTAAATATTGAAGTACAGTGATTTAAATATCCTAGAATAACCTATTTTCCTATTAAATTAAATGGTCGTTTGGTAAATCTGAATGCAAATATATTTGCTGCAACTCATTTAAAGCCTTCTTCTCTAAGGAGAAAGGTAAATGTGCTAGATATACTTACTGTTGGTGTGATGAGATAATTGAGCCTTTTAATTTTCTCCTTGATAGTATTTATGTACGTTTCGGCTATAAAGTTTATCGACAGGTTGTAGGTATGCGCTCCTTTAGCAGACTTGTTCTTGTGCTGTTATGAATCACAGTTTATGACCAAACTCAGTAAAGACCCGTATAGAACCTTTACTAAATTCTTCCATAGATATAAAGATTTGGTTTGAAACTTTGGTTGCACCTGTAGAAAACTTATTTTTAACGAGATAGCAGATCCTAATTTTTACGGAGACATTGTTTACCGAGTCCAGAAATTTAGATACGATCCGGGTAAACTTATCGATCCTTTAAATAAACTTATTCTAAAACGTTACCAATTCAACACTATAACTAGATCTTTGAATACTGTTTTTGTTGGTATTAATATTGATTTTGTTATCAGTAAATTAAAATCAAACTAAATATCATTTTAATATTCATATACACATTCACGGCTCTACAATCTGTCGATACCTGTATCTTGGCATTGCACAAGGTCATGTTTTTCTCTGACTGTTAATGACGTCTTTACACTAAATCCATTGGACGTTGGATGTGTACTGATTGATATTTTAGTCTTAGATGCATGTTTTTTTTATTAGTTGTTATTGGCTTTGAACTAGCTGCCAGTAACTGCGAGTACTCTCAGATCTGTACTTAGTGTCTTTTTGTTGTGGGGATGTATAAGTACCCTGCCACGTCTACTCTGTGTTTTTGTTAGATGTATTTCTGCTTTGTATCCATCTGATGAGTTAAGCCCTTTTCAACTGATTTCTATAGTTTGTTCTTATGTTGTACTGTTACACCACTGTCCCAGGTTAAGGGAGGGTTGGTGCCATCTAGCTAGTTTAACACCATCACATTCTATACGTGCCTGTCCCAAGTCAGGAGCCTGTAATTCAGTGGTTGTCGTTTGTTGCTGTATATAATATTTGTTTTTCGTTAATTATTTTGTACATAAATCAGGCCGTTAGTTTTCTCGTTTGAATTGTTTTATATTTGTCATGTCGGGGCCTTTTATATCTGACTATTAGTATGCGGAATGGGTTTTACTCATTGTTGAAGGCCGAACGGTGACATATAGTTGTTAATGTTTGTGTCATTTGGTCTCTTGTTGATTGATTGATTGATTGTTGGTTGCTTAACGTCCAGTGGTTTGGTCTCTTGTGGAGAGTTGTCTAATTGGCAATCATACCACATCTTCTTATTTTTATATATACTAACATTACAACTACATAAGAGTTATTTCCCCTTTTAAGAATTTTATTTTCATATCAAACAAAATTATAGTATAATATGCATACGAAGCTGGAAATAACTTTATATTAAAGTTTGTATTGGCACTATCAAGTAAGTGTTACTGATGATTTAGTTCAAATGGAAAAGATAAAGAAATAAATGCTGCTTTTAATTCTTCAAAACCAATTTTACAATGGTATTCTTATGGTGAAAAACGGAAAATTGCTAATTTATTTCATAATACAATGCATGTCTGACATAAAGAAAGAACAAAAATCTGACGATATTGTGAGATACAAATTGAATGTTGCATTTGAAACACAGTTAAAATTTCAATGATGCACGAACAAACAGTAAACAAATCCACTGTAAAGTGCTGAGAAAATATAAACTGCAGTACATGTGAATCACTAACATTGTTCTGAAAAATATAAACTGCAGTACATGTAAATCACTAACATTGTTTTGAAAAATATAAACTGCAGTACATGTGAATCACTAACATTGTTCTGAAAAATATAAACTGCAGTACATGCGAATCACTAACATTGTTCTGAAAAATATAAACTGCAGTACATGTGAATCACTAACATTGTTCTGAGAAAATATAAACTGCAGTACATGTGAATCACTAACATTGTTCTGAAAAATATAAACTGCAGTACATGTGAATCACTAACATTGTTCTGAAAAATATAAACTGCAGTACATGTGTATCAATAACATTGTTCTGAAAAATATAAACTGCAGTACATGTGAATCACTAACATTGTTCTGAAAAATATAAACTGCAGTACATGTGAATCACTAACATTGTTCTGGAAAATATAACCTGCAGTACATGTGAATCACTAATATTGTTCTGAAAACATAAACTGCAGTACATGTGAATCACTAACATTGTTCTGCTTTAGTAATCTTCACCGACAGACCACTTCAAAAAGGAATAAAAACACATATACGATGGCGGATTACAGAACACGATTCCTTTCTTTCTTTATATTTTGAATACAATTATTTACACGTGACATGATGATCAAAATGTCATACAATACAAATTTAATTCTCTCAGTGTTGCAGCGAACTAGCGCCACATTCTATATGTGCCTGTCCCAACTCAGGGGCCTGTAGTTCAGTGATTGTCGTTGGTTCATGTCTGTCATATTTTTTTTTCTGTAATTGTTTTGTTATAAATTAGGCCGTTAGTTTTCTCAATTGAATTGTTTCATATTTTTATGTCGGGCCTTTTATAGCCGACTGTACGGTACGAATAAATTTGATCTATGACACAATGTAAATACAAAATTAATAAAAGAAGGGGATTAGATGTAAAACAATATCAAAAAGACAACTATAACCGTGGACAAAATGCCACCAAATAAAATAACGTACACAGGTAAATACAAATAATTTAGTTGTAATGTATACATGGACTACGGAAATAATTTTTACAAAATGAATAATTTTGTTGTTCCTAGTACGAGAACAAAAATGAAAATTTATCGTCATACTAAACACTTATCAAAGGTGGTATATATATTAAAAATAGTGAGACTAGATATAACACTTCAAATAAGTAAACATTAAATTAACAAAAATACATTACAAATTGTAACAACAGGTCAAATTAACACGAAAGTACGATTTGAGAGTACTCGCAGTTACTGAAAGCTGGTTAAAAGCCAAACAACAATTAATAATAAAAAATCATGCATCAGAGACTAAAATCAACTAAAACACATCCAAGGGATTTAGTATTTTAACGTCATGGACAGTCAAAGTCTATATGTTCCTACATACTTTCGACATTTCACAAATGATATTACTGAAGATTTCAAGTAATGTTTTTCACCGGGTCTTTTTAGAGTCACTATAATCAATATCCTTATTTACAAAACTATTTTACTGAGAAAAAAGTATATGAGACAGTTTTAAAAAAAAAATTTCCCCAAGGATTTTTTTTCCAGCATGTCTTTGATGCTGTATTTTCAAACTGCTAATAACGAAATATAGGGATGAGTTCAATCTGTCTCTTTCTTCGATGAATTTTGCACAGTTAATGATCTAAGTTACATTTCCGCTTTTTTATGTTTCATTAAAATCATCAATCATTACCGATTCATTCACATATAAATAAATGCCTTGTTCTCTAGCTTGTAGTTTTTGGGTGTCGAAAGGGTATTTTTGGGTGGTTTCTTTTTCTGATTTTCAGCTGTGCATTTTCTGGTAATTGAAAAAAATATCTTTTAGATTTTGCTCTGTCATTTTCCATTTCTCTGTCTTGAGAAAATTTTCAGTTGTTTTGCTTGTACGGATATTTAAATTGCTGTTCAATTGTCTTACTTCGTTTGCCACTTTATACCAATTTATTTGCAATTCTATTGCCTTCAATATAATAATGACCGGGACTCAAATGTTACCAATTAATATTAGTAGCTAATCATTGAATTCAGAAAGCGACTGTAATATATAGACCAATTGATCCTGCAGTTGAAATCCGGAACTCTTTACAAAAATATACAAAATATTTTACTTGCAGTTTCTATCCGTCTACAAGTTCTTCCGACAAAGGGCTAAGACGATCCTACTTTATTTCGATGCTACATTTTTTCAAATAATGTAATTGTTCTAACGTACACGATAACATATATATATATATATATATATATAAACCCACTAATCTTATAATATTTTGATCACCAGTGTTCCAAGATGTCCATGTGATGATATTTGTTGGCTTTGGATTTTTGATGACCTTCCTTAAACGATATGGCTACTCGGCTGTCAGTGTGAACCTTTTGATAGGAGCGTTTGTAATCCAGTGGGCCATTATCATCCGAGGACTGCTGGCAGAACATGGAAGTAAATTTACCATTAGTGTTTCAGAGTAAGTAACGTTTCATTAATTTAGGTTGCTACAAATTATTAGTTTGTTAAAAGTAAACACTTTTATCTTTTCATTACCCAAGGCAACGTGTATTAGCCCCATATCGAGTGTCTAATCTATAGTCATAATTATTATATGCATTTTGCTATATTCTCATTTAATAAATTTGTGATTATTACAAACAACTAAAATTCTCACTGTCTGGTGCATAAAAGGACATAAGACGGCTTTCGATATTCTTTGTAAGATTATATTTATGTAAAATGTCCATGTATGAATATGATTTGGCTTTCCTAACGATCGGCTTTGAAACCAGGAAAGCGTTTTCAAGGCTGCAAATTCCGCGTGTTTCACAAAAAACATATTTGCAAAATGCGGTCATGAAGCATAAAATTTGCTTCGGCTACTTTACGTTTCCTATTACTACCACTGCTACGATGCTGCAGCTTTTTGTGGACTTTAAGTCCATGAGGATACCACAAGACCGATCACCAGTGCGTTTGTACTGGTATGAATACTTGTTTAATGTTCTATTTAAAAAAATTGTCAGTCGACAAAAAGATATTTGTGAAATGTTTAGACTATCCTCATGAAGTACATGTGTTCCTTAGCTGGTTTTACTGTTTGTTTTCTGGTGTTGTTAAATTCTGAGACTAACCTCCTGATGTACATTGATTCCTTAAATATTTTTGGTGTTTGCCTTCTGGTGTCGTTAAAAAGTAAGGCTATCGTCCTGGTGTACATTGAATTCTTAGATATTTTTGGTGGTTGCTTTCTGGTGTTGTGAAATTCTAAGACTAATCTCCTGATGTACATTGATTCCTTAGATAATTTTTGGTGGTTGCTTTCTGGTGTTGTTAAAATCTATGACTATCCTCCTGATGTACATTGATTTCTTAGATATCTTTGGTGGTTGCTTTCTGATGTTGTGAAATTTTAAGACTATCTTCCTGGTGTACATTGATTCCAAAGATATTTTTGGTGGTTCCTTTTTAAGTGTTTGGGAAATTCTAAGACTATCCTCCTGATGTACATATTGGATATTTTGGTGGTTGCTTTCTGGTGTTGTGTTGTATTTGTTATGCTTCACTTCTTGACATTTATGAATGCGAGCACCATTGACAAGACCAACATTTTTGAAATTTGCATATTCTGCTTTGGTATCTTGTATTTTTACTTTTGACCTTAATTTCTTTTTCTTTGTCTTTTTATTGAATCACCTCTTCTTGTAATACTGATCATATGTATTATTCTAATTTGTCCATAAGCGCCGTTGTAGTATCATGGTAGTATACGGGTTTCGAGAGTGCGAGTCGTTGGATCAATTACCGCCCCGCCCGGATCAAACCAAATACTTTAGAATTGGTATTTGCTGTTTCTCTACAAAGTACGCGGCATTCGGGGATACGAGCATTGATTGACTTAAAGTCAGATTATTGTGTGCTGGTAGGTCGACATGTCTTCTTACGGACTGTAACTTCATGAGCTATTACATCAAAACATCCGGCTAAGTGTTTTGGTATAGTACAAAGCCGGGTATGTACATATCTCATTGACATATTATAGGTCTGAACCTCGATGTAATATTTGCCATTGGACGATGATCATTCATCTAATTGTTCATAATACTTAACATGTAATCGTGAAAAAGTATGTTCTTTGTTTTGTACAGATTATTCACGAGTTAAAACGGCTTAATTCATAGTATGAATAAACTCATCATAAATAGATACCATGCAGAATTAAAATTTTGTACGCCAGGCGCGGGTTTCGTCTGCAAAAGATTCACCAGTGACGCTCAAATAAAAAAAAGAGTTAAAAAGGTCAAATAAAGTACGAAGTTGAGAAACAAAATATGTTTTTTATATATCCAAGATATGATGACCAGTCTACAAATACCAGCATTATAGCTATTATGTCATAACGACATTTGGCAATAACTGAAGAACAGTTCCATTTTCTTGCATTTTTGTGTTTTTCCAATAACATTTGATATAGATTTATTATAATATATCTTTCACTTGACCTACAGTATGCTGACCGCAGACTTTGCTGCTGCTACAGTGTTAATATCATTTGGAGCAGTGTTAGGAAAGACAGGGCCAATACAACTACTGGTTATGGCAATTATAGAGGTTGTTTTATCACAAGTTAATGAACATATAGGACTTGAAATGTTACATGTATGTATATCTATACTATAAGGTTAAATTAAATTTGTTAGTACATTAGGAAAACTTGAAAGCCTTGTATCATACCACATCATACCACTTCTTTTATTTTTACATAGAATGCAGGGTTTGTTGCTCGTGCTGTGTGGATGCAGTATAATGTGTTCCCGTAATTGTGGTGTGTGCCCTTATATTCTATAGCTAGGGTCTTTGTTAGAGACAAGGCGGTTTGGATTTTGCTCATTGTTGAAGGCCGTGCGGTGACCTATTGTTGCTAACTTCTACGCCATATGGTCTCTGAATGAGTTGTCTTATTGATATTCTTATCACATCTTCTTATGTTTATATTGTAATTAACTCAGCTAATTTCATCATTCTGAATCAATAACACACACTATATATAAAGTAGTTTGTTGTATACGTCAATGGGATAGCATTCCGACGAAAAGAATGACATCAAGAGGCAACACAAAGTCTTCCGCAATAGACAATATATCAATTATTCCGAGTCTATAAGATTTGTTAATAAATTTAATAGAAACAATCAAAGATCTACCATCAAAACTGAAATCTCCAAGTAACGAAAAATATTAGAATATGATATACAACAACTACTGACCAGTCTGGTTAAGATCAAACCTCTCTGCGCTCCTGTTTTCTGATATGTCGCGTGGGAGATTAAAATCAAACCTCTCTGCGCTCCAGTTTTCTGATATGTCGCGTGGGAGATTAAAATTAAACCTCTCAGTGCTCCCGTTTTTCTGATATGTCGCGTGAGAGATTAAAATCAAACCTCTCAGCGCTCCAGTTTTGTGATATGTCGCCTGTGAGATTAGTATCCAGCATTTCAACACTTCCATTTTGTGATTTTCGCATGGAAGACATATAAATAAACGATGGCAAGTGAGAGGTTAGATTTTAATCAGACTGACCTCTGACTATGTTCATTTGGGATGGCAAGATTCAAACGAACCATTCCATCGTAATAATAATATATGCAAATGAAACATTTGTTTTTTATTATACTTCACGTTAAAATGCCATATTTTGATTGGCTAATACGAGGGTGTTAATTTACTCTATAACCCTTCATGGAGACGCTTTATCAAGTGTGCGCTTTATTAAATACGACTCTATCCTATGGCAAATACTCTATTACCCTTCACGGAGACGCTTGATCAAGTGTGCGCTTTATTAAATACGGATTGTTGTTATGTACAAGACGTCATAGTTTATTACTTTGAACTGGGACTATTATACTAACAGTTAGTATAATAGTCCCAGCTTTGAATTTGAAATTTAATCGACAGTAATAACAGAACATTCAGTATAATAAATTAAATAACACATATTCGCCTCAGTTGACAATGTTTTCTCGGGGAAACAATCTGCTCTATCACCCTCTCAGCTATGTGTTATTTTATTTATATAATTGTTATACATGGAACATGGTATATAAACAACTTGCTATAAGTAAATCAAAATAGAAACGCAAATTTACACGATAAAAATGCAAACAATACTAATAGTACGGTGACACGTAAGGTAAATTTAATGGACCGAAATACCTGACGGCTAATTTTGGTCTTATTTTGAAGATAAATATAATACCCTTTGATTAAGGCATGTCGTATAGAGTGCTAAAGTGATTTTTGACAACTGTGGTCAAAGGTCAAAAGGGCGGATTTTAAAAATCGTAATTTTGATAGTACATCTTGTTATGAAAAGGATAACAACACCAATTTAAATTTACGAGAAGTTATTACTCAAGATTATCGATAGACATGTATTAGTTGAATTCAAACTCGCGAAAGACTTTATTGTCCCTTGAGTATATGATTAGTTCAGTGGATCATTGCATAGTTTTCGTGACTATAGTATACTATTGTCTATTTGTGAAGCAATAGTGGGGATATCCTTCGTTACATAACGTTTTATTTTCATTCTGGAAATAATTTGGTATTGATGGCAGATCTTTGATGGTCTCTGTTAAATTAATGTTGACATATAAGACTTAGATTAACCCCTATAGATGCCTTTTGTTTAGTTTGTGTCGTTGGGTTGTTGTCTCATTGCAAATGCATCTCTTTTATATGATAAAACATGTAATTACTATCAAAAAAGAGAGGCGAAAGATACCACAAGGACATTTTAAAACTTAGGAATATGTGTGCATGATTTTCCAAACGAAATTCAAAATTTTTTATAATTATGATATACCAAAATGTTAACACAAATAATACATTCTTACACATTCAATAATTGTCACGAGTCCTTATAAATATCCCATAGTTAGTAGTGTCCAAATTTTTGTATTCGTCTTTTTTTATAATTGTATAATAGTCTTTTAGTGTTTGACTCGGCATCGACTTGTCCAATGGACTTCGACATTTCATTTTCCTCTTAAAATAGAAGCTTCTGTATTCTCGAGTCACCCCTTTCAATTATGTATTTATAGGTTGCTGATGTTGGAGAGTCTATGTTTATTCACGCTTTTGGTGCTTATTTTGGGCTGGCCGTAGCGAGGGTTCTATACAACGATAAAAGTGAGGATAATCCAGGGGAAAGCACAGTGTATCATTCAGATTTATTGTCAATGATTGGTAAGTTCATTTTCCATGAAAAGTCCGCATTAATTTGTTTATTTGAATTATAGATAAATTACTGCGGGTGTTTTTTTTTTTCGTATTTCAAGACATACCATTATCAAGGAGGCGAAGTGGGAAAGCAAAAGTTTAAAAAAAAAAAAAATACCGGGAGCTGTAAATAAACATAAGGACCTTAAAAAACACACACGTTCAATTCTGTGAAATCAAAATATATCTGCTAAAAATTCAATGAAATCTATAGTGCAGGACATATAATGTTATCAAATCCCCTTGGTATTTTCCGCCTGTTTTTTTTCTCCTTACCATTTAGATAGTTTCTTATTTTACAGGTACCGTGTTTCTGTGGTTATATTGGCCGAGTTTTAATGGTGGAGGCGTTACAGGCGACGAACAACACCGAGCTGTCATTAATACCTATCTTTCATTAACTGCCTGTACACTCGTAACATTTGTAGTGTCTGCCTTAATCGATGAAAAAGGAAAATTTGATATGGTATGTAGTCTTGAAAAATCTTCCAAATTATAAAAAGATGAACTTTTCGTCTGTACTGATTAATGGGAGTGTCTAGAATTTGATGTAAGCCCTCATCCCAACGGATGAAACCCTGGAAAGCAAGTTATTGCCAATATTGTTTTCCCGTATTTAGGAGTGTTTAAGTTTCGCCCCTTTAAATTCGTACCTGGTTTTATTGTTTGTTCCAGCATGTACCTTTTGTTAGCGTACTGATCGATGTTAAAAGAGGAATCGTTGAGACCTGAAAGAACATAGCTTAACCTCCCCCTTCCCCCATTATACATAGCATGTGGCAAGTCAAAACCTTCGTCAGTGGTTGTCTTATGCCATATTTTAATGTTTTTTGTTACTTATTTATTGTGGTGTTCTTGGCAGATCTTTGTAAGTCCGTGTTTAATGCATTAAAAATTTTAAGACTAAGGATTATTTAGAGCTTCCTATTCGGTGTTGAAATGAGTTTTTTTTGGCCAAAAGTAGGTAAGGAGATGATTTTTAATGTTTCCCGACCTCCTCTTTCTTGTGTTGTCATAATCCCACCTCCTCTTTCAAAGGTTGTAACTGAAGGTAAGTCAACAAAGTCTATAACTTAACCATGCATTGCAACAGCTCTTCCTTGCTGTGAAGATTATGTACTTGGTAACTCCATATGTTTTATTTAACTTTGTCCAAAGGAAGATGCACGAACAAAAGGAGATACCACCGTGACTGTAGTACCATCATCTTGCAACGAATAATAATCTATGTTCCTATACTTTGCTAAACAATACTGCAAACTACATTTTCTTATAAATCATTACTACGAGAGAGGTTTCGAAGCGACTAAAGTAGAAGAAAAATCAAAATATCAAACATCCATAGTGCACTACATGACCGAAAAGGACAAACAGCACTAAATACCAAAGCTTTGGACAATACTGATACGAGTTCCGATAGTTTCCACTTGCTATCGTTGTGTTACTATTTCATTGACCCATCACCATTCTATTTTTGATGACAAATTAAGTGACGTATAACACCTAATTAAAAAAAGTTTACAGCAATGGATAACATTACAACTGTATATTTTAAGTATTTGTTTTCTTTTAAAATCGTAAAAAATGTTATAAATGTCAAGTTTATAAAGGACAAAATTTTACACAAAAAGTAATATGACCGAACTGCTACTGAAATTCTACCCTATCTACACAATATCGTAAAACTACATTACCGTTTTGACCGATTTTTTGTGTGATGATGTATATGATTACAGGTCCATAACCTTTAGATAGTTCATGACATACTCAACTTATATATATATATATATAAAACGCATTTGACTAACAGGTCGAACAACAAATGTTCTTAAACCCTGCTGACTGCCATTGGCGATTGCCAAATAAACGGATCACCGATGTAATAAATGGATCTTAAATTTAATACTAAACAGAAAACAATAAACTTGCGGAAAAGATGATATACCGCAAACCAATGGTGCAAAGGTTTTTGTACACCATATCCGGATTTCGACAATTAATGTCTCTTCAGTGATGTTAGGAATCGAAACGGTATTTGGAAGGCCATATAATTTACCTCAATTTGGGATTGACTCTGGAATTTTGAAGAGTCGAAATAGGAAGAACGGATCATATAAACCCGAAGGCAAATATAATACAAGCCCAAACGAAAAAATATAAATAAGTCTAAATTGAAAACAACGTTCAAACCTATGATTGCGTTGGATAAAAACCGCAATTTTTATACGTGTGCATGCAGAACAATTTTCTTGTTAGAGGGGTCTAAATACAGCACATACAACCTTTTCCAAAAGACCAAAATAGTGAAAAAGTATATTTTAACAAAACGCATTTGACTAACAGGTCGAACAACAAATGTTCTTAAACCCTGCTGACTGCCATTGGCGATTGCCAAATAAACGGATCACCGATGTAATAAATGGATCTTAATTTTAAATTTAATACTAAACAGAACACAATAAACTTGCGGAAAAGATGATATACCGCAAACAAAAGGTGCAAAGGTTTTTGTACACCATATCCGGATTTCGACAATTAATGTCTCTTCAGTGATGTTAGGAATCGAAACGGTATTTGGAAGGCCATATAATTTACCTCAATTTGGGATAGACTCTTGAATTTTGAAGAGTCGAAATAGGAAGAACGGATCATATAAACCCGAAGGCAAATATAATACAAGCCCAAACGAAAAAATATAAATAAGTCTAAATTGAAAACAACGTTCAAACCTATGATTGCGTTGGATAAAAACCGCAATTTTTATACGTGTGCATGCAAAACAATTTTCTTGTTAGAAATTAAGATCCCTCTAACAAGAAAATTGTTTTGCATGCACCGCAATTTTTATACGTGTGCATGCAAAAACAAATTTCTTGTTAGAGGGGTCTAAATACAGCACAAACAACATTTTCCAAAAGACCAAAAAAGTGATAAAGTATATTTTAACAAAACGCATTTGACTAACAGGTCGAACAACAAATGTTCTTAAACCCTGCTGACTGCCATTCGCGATTGCCAAATAAACGGATCACAAGGTGTAATAAATGGATCTTAATTAAAAATTTAATACCAAACAGAAAACAATAAACTTGCGGCAAAGATGGTATACCGCAAACAAAGGTGCATAGATTTTTGTACACCATATCCGGATTTCGACAATTAATGTCTCTTCAGTGATGTTAGGAATCGAAACAGTATTTGGAAGGCCATGTAATTTACCTCAATTTAGGATAGACTCTCGAATTTTGAGGAGTCAAATTAGGATGAACGGATCATATAAACCCGAAGGCAAATATAATACAAGCCCAAACGAAAAAATATAAATAAGTTTAAATTGAAAACAACGTTCAAACCTATGATTGCGTTGGATAAAAACCGCAATTTTTATATGTGTGCATGCAAAAACAAATTTCTTGTTAGAGGGGTCTAAATACAGCACAAACAACATTTTCCAAAAGACCAAAAAAGTGAAAAAGTATATTTTAACAAAACGCATTTGACTAACAGGTCGAACAACAAATGTTCTTAAACCCTGCTGACTGCCATTCGCGATTGCCAAATAAACGGATCACAAGGTGTAATAAATGGATCTTAATTAAAAATTTAATACCAAACAGAAAACAATAAACTTGCGGCAAAGATGGTATACCGCAAACAAAGGTGCAAAAATTTTTGTACACCATATCCAGATTTCGACAATTAATGTCTCTTCAGTGATGTTAGGAATCGAAACAGTATTTGGAAGGCCATGTAATTTACCTCAATTTAGGATAGACTCTCGAATTTTGAGGAGTCAAATTAGGATGAACGGATCATATAAACCCGAAGGCAAATATAATACAAGCCCAAACGAAAAAATATAAATAAGTCTAAATTGAAAACAACGTTCAAACCTATGATTGCGTTGGATAAAAACCGCAATTTTTATACGTGTGCATGCAAAAACAAATTTCTTGTTAGAGGGGTCTAAATACAGCACAAACAACATTTTCCAAAAGACCAAAAAAGTGAAAAAGTATATTTTAACAAAACGCATTTGACTAACAGGTCGAACAACAAATGTTCTTAAACCCTGCTGACTGCCATTCGCGATTGCCAAATAAACGGATCACAAGGTGTAATAAATGGATCTTAATTAAAAATTTAATACCAAACAGAAAACAATAAACTTGCGGCAAAGATGGTATACCGCAAACAAAGGTGCAAAGATTATTGTACACCATATCCGGATTTCGACAATTAATGTCTCTTCAGTGATGTTAGGAATCGAAACAGTATTTGGAAGGCCATGTAATTTACCTCAATTTAGGATAGACTCTCGAATATATATATATATATATATATATATATACAAGGTCTACCAATGGTTTTTATACCTGTATCAAGCAAATAGGGTCGTTCGACGTTTGTGTTATATCTGTTCGTTTAGAAAGTCGAAGGCGTTGTAGCTCTTTTGATTTACAGTTCTGACGAAGAAGATTCGAAGGAGGAAAACAAAATTCATTAGTCGAAGAAAAACAGAAAACAACATAACAAAAAAAAAAAATTAATTAAACAACAAGATAATCACTTCTTACAAATGTTGGTGTTAATAACGACAGTGAAACATGTGTTATTGTCATTTTCAATAAGAAAATATCTATAAAACAGGCTGTTTTGATTTTCCTTTTTTCTTTGATTTGTACCTTGAATTGTAACACACCATGGTTGGTATGATATAAACATTTCCTGATTACAGAAAAGTCGTATAAGACTGTCATATGATTAAATAAGGTCTGTTGAAGATAACGACTTTCCCTGACTTTTCATATTATGGAAATTCAAAAATCTTACACCATATATAGCATGTGGCTGTTAATCTGTTAATAATTCTTATCTCATACAAGTTTGGATTTTTTTTCATATTTACTATCTGATTTACATTTTCTGTACTTAGATTTATTGGTTTTTTCAACTATGACAGGTATACGACTCTTTTTCTGGTATGTTAATAGCTTTCAAAAATAGATGATTAAGACATTTATATTCATAAAATTTCAAAAGACCCCCATGTCGGATTGGCCTTGAGTTGTTATTATCATATTACACTATATAGGATCAGTGTTGTATTTTGATGTAAGTCCAATGGTTTAGGTTGAAGCATCATCCATTATATCATGATAAAATCAATTAGTTTACTATTTAAAAGTTTATCAACATGATACTGGTAAATAATCCTACTTTGAAGTTCGTATAATAACAAAATATTTCACAATAATGATCAGAATGATCTAATTATTTGTTTGTTTAGAAAAACAAGTATAGGATGAAAATTTGATAACGCAATAATAAGACTATCATTTAAGTAAATGAATTCTAAATTTAAATTTAGAATTATCAAATGTAATGATAACCCTGAAATATGTCAGAACAGCATAGCTATTCCTTATATTGTCGGCTGTCACATTGTTTTTACTTTGATACTGG